TGGAAACTAAATATCAGTATATATAGCAATAAGCTTTAAAAAGAGCTGAAGCAAAAATCTTAATTTACAAGATGCTAATATACGAAAATATTTTACTTTTAAAGACAATATTGATTTACAAAGAATTAGGTGGGGGCTGTGGGGTTGATCACCTGGGTTCCACGCAATAAGCGCCAAACATAACATATTCCATTATTATTTGCAGCCACAACCAAGCTTCCATCCCACATTACAGTCAGAGACCTAACAGCAGTATCCACCTCAGGAACCTAATTTCCAAAAAAACTAAAATGTGCTTATAAAAGAATAATGCCATGTTTCAATAAAGAGTATGTTAGCAGTTTGCATTAACAATATATTTACAATACTAACTAACAGATAAGTAGATTATAATATGCTCCCATATTCAGATGTCTTATCATGGAGAACTCCACGTTTCAATTCATATTATGACCTCAAGGTTTCATGAGATACGAAAAGAAACAAGATAGCACTGTATACCAACTCGCAGCTGCATGCATTTGCTTTCAAGTCCCATACTCGAATATTTCCATTCTGATCACCAGATATAAGCTCAGTCTGCAAATCATAACAGAGAATGAAGATGATCCCTAGTTGCAACCAAGATAGTAAACACTCCATTCAAATCTTAAAGAATGAAAATATTAAGGGAGAAATTTATGGAACATATTCTACAAAGTCAATAATATATATTCCAACTTCCACAGTAGAAATGAAAAAAAAAAAAAAAAAAAAAAAAAAAATCCTTTCAACACACTAAACAAAACCTGGTTTGGATGCAAAACAACTGTGTTGACAGCTGCACGGCTCTCATATTCTCTCTGAAACCCCGGTGCCCTGTTTTTCAAAAGAACAAACTTAAATTAGAAATGACAATGAATAGAATATATAGCATGCGCTTGAGTTAGATATCTAATGCACCTCAAATCCCAAATCTTTACTGTGCCATCTTCAGAACCAGAATACATCCAATTTCCATCACATTGAAATCCTACTGCCATAACATTGTTAGTGTGTGAATCAAAGCTTTGTATCTGCCATAGAAGCAAGAAACACTTTATTAGGCAAAAGAAAGAGGACACAAGCTTAGATATATTTGAAACCACTGGAGAAATGATAAGAAGGGACAAAAAAAAAAGAAGAAAGAAGATCCAGAAATTTACAGGCTGAGGGCTGTTAGAATTGATGTCGAACAATCGGATGTGAGGGTTGCCTGCTGCAGCCAGGTAAAGTTTATCTGGCGTAATCTCAAGCCGATTGACTTGCTATTGCAAAAGCAAATACAAACAAGACGCATCAGATTCCACTTAGAAAATGAAAGATAATTAGTTCAAATCCCAATGTTTTATATTCCATGTATATTTTAATTTAAAACCTATTCTTCCATCAGATCAAGTGTTCATTAATGGGATATGTGCAACTGTCACATAAGCTTCTTCAGCTATTTCACTTTCCTCTCTTTTTCCACCAGCCAATAGACACCATTCAAATAAAAATGTCCAAACCAGAGCCATTCCAATGTTCAAAACTTTTTCTTCTTTTTTCAATGAAGAAAAAGAAGCATCTGGAGCATGGTGCAGAATACTACACTTGACATTCTACTACCATGTACAATCCATTAAAGTTTCTAGGTTTCAATTTAGAGACTAACATCTATATGCTTTTCTTTATGAAATTTCATCCCAAATACTAATACATCCGGTTTCTGGAAATGAATAAATGATTGATCAATACAGTCCACAGCACCAAATTAACCTTTTCTATATAGCATAACTGATAAACAGGCTTTGAATGACTTACTGATTCTGGGTATTGGATAGTCCGGTAACAGCGGGCACTTTTTGCCTCCCAGAACCGAATAGTGTGATCATAGCTAGCTGTAGCTAGCACAACTGATGGCTGTGCCATTGCTATGTCTTTTCTCCTATTCAAACCAAAAATAAAATAAAATAAATTCCAATTAGCTTTGGGTGTGCTCTGAATAAGAAACCCATATGAAATTTTTGATAAATTTAGTGGAAATTGTTCTTTTTAGACAGGTTTTGTTTACGGACACTACCTAAAGCAGCCAAGTGTTTGGATGAAGAATTGGGGATTTTTTTAGAGGAACTAGGGTTTCAGGGGGGTTTTGCAAAGCGGCAGCTGGAGAACAATGGCTGATCCCATAGTAGTAATACCCAAAAAGGTTGAATTGTTTTCCCGGGAATCTTCAGTGCCGGGAGGAGCGTGTAAGTGGCGTAGTGGTCAGCCGCCGCTTCATCAGAGCAGGGTGGACCTTCAACTTGAATTGGCGCCGGCGGCACGTTTTTGCAATTTTTTTTTTTAAAAGGGTTTTTGCAAATTAAAAATACAACAATTACTTGAATTGGAGTTAGGGTCTTGGCTTGAGTACCTTATCATTCGGTGCTTTTGTTGAGAGGCCGGAGTGCGGTGGGAAAGGACTACCCGATGCTTGATAATGTTCAAAGGGAATCGAAAAGAGTTCGGGGTGAAAACTCTCCAGAGGGAAGCCGTCCACTCATCCGATGCTAACCTAGCGGAGGGGGCGACCTAGAAAAAAGACTACCTGATGCTTGATAAGGTTCAGAGTGAAACCATCTAAAGGAGAAAAAGGTTACCTGGTGCTGAGAAGAGTCCGGAGTGTGAGTCGTCTAGAGCAAGCCGTCGCAGACGTCAGTTTCTCAAGGGGTGGGCAATACTATCGATATATGGTCAAGCCGCATAAAATGATTGCGTCAATAGTATTCAAAAGAAAAACTATAAACATTTTTTTTTCTTTATAATATCTAAAAAATCAACTTGTAATCTTTTATCTAAAATTACAATTTCACCATAACATCTTTGTGCAATTCCTAGAAAAATATGTTTTTAACTACAAAAAAAAAAAAAAACAAAAAAAAAAACAAAAAACAAAAAAAAAAAACAAAAACAAAAACAAAAAAAACAAAAACAAAAACAAAAACAAACAAAGTTTTCTCCCCAAAACCTAATAAGATTGTGGAGGCAATTTATATCATCAACCATGGATTGAAACAATGAGGTACAAAATTCATACTCGTATGGTACATAATTTCATAACACAAAATACAAAAAATCACAACATAAAACACATAGCATAGGATTATAGACCCAACTAGATTGAAAAGACGATGTACAAAATGCATACTCGTACAACACCTTTGGTTCACAGAATGAATTTTGAGGTAATATGAATGCTATTCCATAAGGAATGGGATAGGCAAGGAATAGAATATGAATTCTATTCTATTATTTGGTTCGCGGAAGGAATAGACTTTAGGAATTATATTACAGTGTTTGGTTGGTTTAAGGAATATAATGAAATATGTTTCAAAAGACATAAATACCCTTATAAAAATATATGGTGGTGTTGGTGTTGGTGTTGGTGGTAGTGGTGGTGGTGGCGGCGGTGGTAATGGTGGTTGAGGTGGCGGTGGCGGTGGTAGTAGTGGCGGCGGTGGTTGCAGTGGAGGTGGTGTTGGTGGCGGTAACAGTGCCGGCGGTGGTTGTGGTGGCGGTGGCGATGATGGTGGTGGTGGAGGTTGTGGGGTGGTGATGGAGACGGCGGCAGTAGTGGCGGTGGTAGGGTATTTTCGATATTATAGTACTAAAGCTATTCCCAAATACTTGGGAATAGCTAATACCAGGGGATCCCCAGGAATGGCTATCCCCCCTACAAAGGGAATAGTTCATTCCCAGGAACGCTATTACCTTTATGGCCCGTTTGGTTCACGGAATAGGCCGGGAATGGTATAACATTCCCAGTAATAGGCCTATTCCTTTGTTTGGTAACCATTTCTATTACCAGGAATAATATTCCTGGTAATAGCCTATTACCTCAAATAAGGTAATAGCTATTACTAGGGTCCCCTGGTATTAGCCTATTACTGAACGGTGAGGAATAGATTTTAAAATCTATTTTCTTTTTTACCCCTTTCTTTAACCTAATTTTTTTATACTATATATATTTTATTTATCCTATTTCACCACCGTCGTCGCCACCACCACCATCACCGCCGGCGCCGCCAGAACCACCACCATCGCTGCCGCCGCCACCACCACCACCGCCGCCAGAACCACCACCCAGCAGCACCACCGCCATAACCGTCGCCGCCCCCACCACCACTGCCACAACCGTCACCGTCACCACCACCACCGTACCGTCGCCCCCACCACTGCCACCACTACCACCCCAGCACCACCACCATCGCTGCCGCCGCCACCACCACCACTGCCGCCAGAACCACCACCGCCGCCACCACCTCCACCACCGCCACAACCGTCGCCGCCCCCACCACCACTGCCACAACCGTCACCGTCACCACCACCACCGTACCGTCGCCCCCACCACTACCACCCCAGCACCACCACCGCCACCACCACCAGCACCACCACCGCCACCACCGCCACCACCACCACCGCCACCACCATCGCCACCATCACATATTTTTATAAGGGTATTTATGTCTTTTAAAACATATTTCATTTCTATTCCTTAAATCAACCAAACACTGTAATATAATTCCTAAAGTCTATTCCTTCCGTGAACCAAACAAAAATATAATACAATTCATATTCTATTCCTTGCATATTCCATTCCTTATGGAATAGCATTCCTATTACCTCAAACTTCATTCCGTGAACCAAACGTGTTGTTAATAAAATGACAAAACAAACAATGGAATAGGTCTATTCCCGGGAACGGTATTCCATTCCCGACCTATTCCATGAACCAAACACGCTAGTAATATAATGTACATAGTCTCATAACACAAGACGCAACAAATCATAACACAACACACACACATGTTATATATTTACTCATTTTTTAAATATGATTTAGATACATAATTTGTGTTCATAGACACAAAATTTCACAACACAAGACGCAGAAATTCATAACATTAAAACATAATTACTAATTTGTTATATGTACATAATTCATACTCATAGAGTACAGAATTTTATAACAAAAGGCACAAAAAGTCATAACACAAAACACAAACATATGTACCATGATCCAATTGTATAACGATTGGATTGAGGATATGAAAGAAGCTAAGTATTACTCAGTTAAAAGCTCACAGAGATATTCCAAACTACAATACAAATTGTCCATTATTGTTGTTGTTCTTACATAGTTGTGCTAGCACATTAGAAGCCACCCCCATCTCTTCCACACTTGACACTCTCACCTTTTCACCTATCTTCCTCACATTCCTCCTCATATCTTCCCCAACTTCTCCCCCCATCACATCCTTAACAACTCTTGACACTTCTTCCCTACCAAACTTCCCATCTCCATCCCTCCCAACCTCCACACCCACCCCAATCTCCACCACCAACCTCCCATTCACGGGCTGATCGATGCGGTGCATGGGCATGACTATAATCGGAACGCCATAACGGACGCCTTCCAGTACTGAATTCCATCCGCAATGACTCAGAAACCCTCCAACGCTTGGGTGGGCTAGGATTCTTGCTTGTGGGGCCCACCCCTCGACCACCCTCCCCCTCTCCCCCACCCTCTCTATAAACCCCTCCGGCAGCGCCCCCTTTGGAAACCTTATGACCCATAGAAAGTTAACTTGACTTAGCTCTAACCCAAAAGCTATCTCTTCCATGGCTTCCTTTGACGGGACACACTCGCTGCCGAAGCAGATGAACAGAGTTGAATTCTCCGGTCTCGTCCCAAGCCATTCAATCACCTCGGAAGAATCTCCTTCGTCTCCAAGATCCAGATCTTGAACCATTGCTCCAAGAATCAAGACTTGAAGATTATTTTCTTGAAGAATTTCACCCAGATAATCCACATATTTCCCTTCAATCTCCCTGGAAGTACTGATCGCCATCACGTTGTCGTCGAAAACACCGCGCCCGGAATCTCTCTTGTCTCCGATCAACCTACGAATCCTCTCGTGCTCATGTCTGGTCAGATTAAGGTCCACCAATGGGTACTCCGTGCTGGGCCTGTGAAACATGTGCGCTAAGTAGGCGCACATGGCGGAACTCGAAGTGAAGAACTGGACCGCCGGGACATTATGCGACGCTGCAACGCCGGCGGCCCAGGGCGGCATGAGAACGTCGTAAACAAACAAGTCCGGGGCGAGAGCTTTCATGACGTCGGAGAAGGCGGATTCGGCCGCCGAGAGGGTGGCGTCGAAGGCGGGGGTGAGATGGGGCGGGAGGGCGTTGGTGGTGTGATAGTGAGGGGGAAGATGCGGCGACTCCGGCAGGTGGAGTTGCAGGAGGCGGATTGTGGGTGAGTATTTGGTTGGGATTTTGGTTTTGATGAAAGTGAGGTTGATGGGAGTTGAACATAGGTGGATGGAGAAGCCATTGTCGGAGAGCTTCTTGGCTAGCTCCAAGAATGGTGAGATGTGTCCGATGGCCAAAAATGGAAGCATCAAAACCTCCAAACGCCGACTAGCTTTGATTTGTGTGTCCATAATAATGGAGTATTGTTGTGTGGATCGGAGTTGGTGAACTTTTGTGAGAGAGGTGGTGGGGAGGATAATGAAGTATAAAGATTTGAAGGGTCCATGAGCCCATCTATAGATCGAGATCTTTATTAATGTGAAAATATTTATAAAAAAAGACATTGAAAGTAACAAGTTAATTTATTTGTACTTAAAAAGTCACAATCTCACTCTTACCACTATTCTCTTAGCTTAAGCTAGTTACACTCTTAAAATAAAGTTAGTAATTTAGTTCTCATGTGTGGTTTATTGACTATTATATATTTATATATACACGAATAAGATTTATTTAATGTACATTTTAGAGCATCCTGAATAGTTATTTTTTTACACAAATTTTAAGATATCAAGTAAAAGAGAATGAAGGAGGAAAAAAATAAGAAAAATGAGTTTTCAGAAAAGAAAAAAAAATGATAAGGCGCTATTGTTGCGTCTCAAGCGAGAAATGATATGCCTTTTTCATATTTGGTGAGATTCATTTCAAGATCAAAAATAAAATCAATTCTCGTAGATTCGTAGAAAGCTTTCACGTCTTCTCTTTCCTCATTCTCTATCTTTCACTTAGTCAGAATCTTCTAAAAAAATCACTATTGTGGTTGTTCTTAGAATAAAGTGATAGAGTATGCCAATGACCTTGTGGTCTAATAGCACCAAGTTCTCTTCCATGTGAGAGATTGTAGGTTCGAACCTCAGTGAAAGTAATATTAATTTTTTGTACTTAAATAAGTTGAGAAAGTAATTATGAACAGATATTGCATCGTAACTAAATTAGTGTACTTAAAAAAAAAAAAGTGATGGAGTATTGGAAAGAAAAGTATTTTAGGGAATTTTTTTTTCTTGAAAACGGGCATTTTTTTTATTGATTACTAAAATTGTGGGTTATCTTGGTTCACGTGTTCCACGCCTCCATGTGATCTACGTCATATCTCTTAGATTAAGAAAGTTGGTTTTTTAATATAATATGCCTGACAAATTTTATTGAATTGCTAATTACTATACGGAGTAATAATTAAGCAAATCATAGCAATGCACATCGCTCGTTATAGGCATAGAATGTATATGTGGGTGTCCCTTTCTTTGTAATAAAAAATAGCAATGTACATGTCAAGTATTTATGACATTCTTAATAGTAGGAAATTTTTCTCATTTTTTTGTAGTCCCAATATCTACTTTATCATTTACTATCTCACTTAATCACAAAAATTCTTATTCTCATTAATTTTAATTTTTTTCACAATTTTTTATAAATCCACCATTTTATCTCTATATTTTATTTATTTATTTGAAATAAGTATTTCTTTATCTCCAGCTTCTCGCCATTCTCTGACCTCCGTGCTCAACGCAATGAAGCTCTCTGTCCGCACATCCTCCACTCCCTCCAGCGACCACTGCGAGTCTCCGACTAGCATAACAGAGCCAGGGTTCTTCAATTTTAACGACAGTCAGAGGTCCATTGAAGGTAATTAGTAAATCTTGTCTTTTATTTTTAATGGGAAGAAGAGTTTATGGCAATGGCAACGGCCAATTAAAATTTAATTTCAGAGTGGCGGCCACTCTGAAACTCTCATCCTTTATTAATTATTTAAAAAAGAAACAATTGACAAAAGTTTGGTTCCTTATAGGAGAAAGAAATCTCCAAAATCTCCAACTCTCATCTGTAAAAAGCTAAGAAAGGAAGACTTTATTGTTCCAACATCATGAATAAACCCCCTATTGGAGGTGCTCTTATACATTGTAATGCCTAGGAATAACTTGTAAATTACGGAGTATTAGTTACATCCATATTAGTGAAGTTTTTTTTTTTTTTTTTTTTTTTTTTTTTTTTTTTTTTTTTTTTTGTGGTTTTTGAAAAGTTTTTGTAAATGTGATTAGAAAGGAAAATATAGAAAAGAAAAAAAAACTAATATGACATTTTAAAAAAATGAAAAAAAAATCACGTGATTAACGCGCCAGGCTTGGCTTTGCTGTGTGCGAAAACGCACAGAGACTCTGCTTTTGAGTACGCCATCACTATTCAAAAAACTTGAATTTGCAGAGGTTTCAATTTCTTCTCTCTCTTGTCTTTTCTCTCCAATTTGTTAGCCATCAATGTTCCAATATCCCCTAAATATGCACCGATAAGGGTCCAAATTTATTGTATAGGACAAAATGTTTTGTAGTAACAATTGTAGAATGGAATTTGTGAATATAATACAGGGTCATCAAATCCTAGTATTTGAAAGGAACTTGTTAATACAAAACAATGTAAGCAATTACATATATGTTAATATTGTATGTTTATAATATACCAATTGTGAATTTTTAAAAGAGAAATTGTGAACATTTGGACATGAGTCAACCTTGTAAGGTAGACCCGGGTCCATGAAATAATTTGCTATAAAATATTGGTCTTCTCCAATCTGGCTCTAGACCTAAGTCTCGAGCTAGGGATGACAACGGAGTAAGACAGAAAATTGAAGAGAGCTAGGGATGACAACGGAGTAGGACAGAAAATTGAAGATAGTCCTGGCTCTAGACCTAAGTCTCGAGCTAGGGATAACAATGAGTAGGACATTGAAGATAGTCCTCATCCCCATCTTCGCAGAAAATTAGGTGGGGACAAGGATACCGTTCCGGTTAATCTTTAGTCAAAATTTTAATTTAGTGTATATAATTTTTCATTTTAAAAACTAAGTATTAATTTAAAAGTATATATAATTAGTGTATAATTAGTATATATATATGTATGTATATATCTATATGTATGTATAATTAGAATAATTATAGGGAGGAGTGGTGACCGTTTTCAGAAAATTTTCCCTATCTCGAGCCTCTCATGAGCTGAGCTTGAAAGGGTATACAAATTTTAATTATTTTTAATTTAATTTATAAAAATTATTATTTTTTAATATTATAAAATTTAATCTTTTAATAGTTAATATTCTTCCTACCTAAGAAAAATACGAAATAGGCTAAATAAAAGGCCAAAGAGTCAAAGACAAAACATGATGATGTTTGAATATAATAATTTCATCTTTCTTTAATTCCGCTTTTTTTTTTTTCTTCTTTAATGTTACATTCGAAAAAAAAAAAAGTAAGAAAAGGAATAGTTATAAACAAAATCTTTACTATGAAAGTTTCAGCGTTCAATTTCAGCAAAGTGCATCAGGTGCATGACACGACACCCGCAATTTATTTATTTATTTTAGAATTCTTCTTCCACTTTCCGATTTGTTTGATATTTGAAACATGGAAGATTCGTCGCTTGGTTTGGTGAATTCCCGATTGATTTGTTAATTTGATTAAAAACTTTTGAGTTAATTGATAACCAAAATTTCTAAAATTCATACCTAATGGCACATAAATGGTTTGTAGTTGATGAGCATGTGAACTAATAAATTGTTCATTTCAAATAATGGACCCCTGATATAGTGCTTGTACTCGGTAGATCTAATAGGTTTGAACGAAAAAACTGATAACACAAAATAATCAAAAAGTAGACTAAACAACAGTAATATAAATAAAAATTTATTGTATAATAAAATATAACATATTATATACCAGTAAAAGAATGTCTCAAGAACATCACTGTAGAACAAGCACTCGCATAACAATCCTACTGATAAATCGCACTAATAGAATCATAATCTCTGTAACTACGTATCACTCAAAATGAGATAGAATACAGATAACAAATCAACGAACGCAAAACTCAAAACTCAGTGCCTGAGGAGAGCAGCTACGGACAGCAGGAGAGAGCTTCCGATCACGGCGGAAGAGATCGGGAGAGAGAATGCGGCTCCGGCATCAGGCGAAGGAGCTGGAGCAGATCCGATCTCCTGAGCCGTAGCAGCGGCGGAGAAGACGGCGAGGACGACGGCAAAGAGGAATGCCTTCACGATGCTAACTTGCGCCATTTTCGCAACAACGATGAGTTTTTTGTGAAATTTGGAGAGTGAGAATTGTGATGCGTATTAGGGTTGCAGTGAGGTTAGAGGGAGAGGAGGCGGTGGTATTTATAGGGCGGAGGCGAGTGAAAGTGAGGAAGGCGCGTGAGACGGACAGCTGGAGACAGCGATACTAAATTGATGGGAGCCGTTAACCTAACCGAGCCGTGACGAAATCGGAAAGGAAACGCAAATGTGAAAAGTGGAAATTTCGCCAGCTTGGGCTTATTAGTTGTTACGGCGCCGTATTAGCTGGACACGTTGCGGTTGCTGGTTGGACGGTCGATAGCGCTGGACTTCTTCACGTGCACTGTTTGCAACAGATGTCCCACTATTGGAAAATGAAAGACTATTTTATTATTATTTTTTTAATACAACCGAAAAGAAAAAAGAAATAAACAAATAAGAAGATACGTTGTCTGTGACATTTTTATTTGTTTATGGAAAATGATTGACAATTTGACAGTTAGAATAATGCGAGCAATAAGCAATTATACGCGTTTATGTTATATAATTATAGTAATACTCCGTATAATAATTGAAATATTACTTTTTTTTTTAAATTAATCAAAATATTACTTAATTCTAAAAGGATAATCGAGTCAATAAAACATAACTTGTTGTATTTAAATGCTACAAATTTAATTTTTATCAATATTATTTTAATCAAGTTTGTTATATATAAATTTCTTAGGCTAATTAAAAATATTTCATAATTTATTTTATATATATGTTCTTTTGACAAGAATTGTGAAAGCTGTTAAGTTTAAGGTTAAACTTGGATTGACATTTATAATCTAGGACAAAAAATAGAATTAATAAAATAAACAAAATAATTGAATTTGAATATGATGATAAGATTTAAAACTCAAGAACCAAACTTCACCGAAATATCAAGCAAATAATGTAATTAAGAAAGTACGAAGTATGAGCTTAGGTGAAAAATGTTGGACTAACCAAAAATAAAATAAAAAACACGCAACACGCTATTAGTCATTTGTTTAATTTTACCACAGAATTGTGAAACTGAAGCCGTCAACTAATGAGTTCAAACTTCAAAGTGAAGGCGACAAACAGTGGGTCCCACCAATTGTGTGGTTGATTAGAATTGGAAGGCTCTAGAACTTTTTTTTGCTAAAATTTTTGTCACGGAAAGCTCTCTAGTTTTTACTTTATTTTTTTTTCTTTTGGTTGAAAATACTGTAACATTTTTGACCTCTAAATAATCGAGCACTTTTTTTTTTTTTTTTTTTTCCTTCAATAATGTCACATCCCCATTTGCCCTTTACTTATTCTTCATGAAATTGGAGACAATTCATATAGTTCAGCAAAATTAAAAATTTTAAATTTTCAAAAAAAAAAAAAAAAAGAAAGACAAATGTGTATATGCCAAAAACCCAAAATCACTATAATTCAGAGATCAAAATATCATTTTCTGTTGTTTTCTGCTATCTTTTGATTTGAAATGTGAATACAAAGGATGAGCATATGCACAAGGAAAAATACTTTGGGGCAGCAGTAGCATTTTCCTATTTTAGAAACATTTTCGCATTCAAAATTTGTCCAGAAACCTAGAAGTTCTCATGTTGTTTCATGATTAGACTTGGGATATGGAGCTAGAGGAATGAAAATTGATGCATACATTAATGGCACCAATCAACACTAAACAGAACAAACAAGAATTCAAAGATAAACTTAGAGCTAGAACTGAAGTTTTCTGCACATATATCCCATTCACTTCCCCTTTGATTTCTTCTTCTTCTTCCTCTCAAGTTTTTGTCTAGCAGCTTCAAATTCTTCTTCACTAGGCTCTGGAGCAGATTGTTCTCCACCATATTTACTCACAAGGGATGAGAACAGAGAATTCATCTTGCCTCTTCTCTCACTCTGTCGCTGTGCAATTATGGCATACAAATCTTCCGGTTCTTTTTTAGATCTGCAGAGTTCAATGGATCCATGATCAGAGAACATAGCTAGGTTTAATGTAACATTGTAAGAGTTAGGGAAAAGAAGATACAATCACAATCACTCACTTCTTCTTCCTTCTTAAAGGACTTGTAGGCGGTTTTATTGCAGATATTTGCTTAGCCCACTTCTCATATGCTTTGGTTGACTTCAGATCACCTATATACGCAAAAAAACATGCAGTTGATGGTCAATGAAGAAAACGGGAAACAAAAAGGACACAAAATCATGTCATGATGTCTAAAGGTCAGAAGTGATGCATAAATTACATTCCGGTGTGTCTCCATACCTGCAGCTATTCCCGCATCAAGAATATCTTTGAAACGATGTGAATCCAATTTTGGATCCGAGCAGAGCATAGAGCAGAAGAGCCTGTAGGAATGAGAAACTGAATGAAATCTGATTAACAAAGGAAATGAATGCTTTATAGCACATTTCTGTGGTAGTACCTGTTCATGTTACCCTTGTACTTTGTGTACAGATCAAGTAGATCTTTCTTCTCTGAATCCGAGCCCCTATAATTTGCTTCAAACTCTTCAATGTCAGCCTCGGTGACCTATAACCAACATGCATGTCATTGAAGGAACGTACAGGGTTAGATATATAATTTACAGATGCAACAAACCATCTAACCTTTTTGTACAAGGATTGGAAAAATTCCTTTAGGTTCTGGACAACATCTCCTGCAAGGTCCTGTAAATCACCAGATGCAACATTTACCACTGCTTTTATGTAAGGAATATATGAGTCCGGTCCAGTAACACTACAATTTGATTAAAACTACTAGCAAGTATGACTGGTATATTCAGGAATATCTGATTAAGAACTTAACCAAGAATTTTGGGAAGCAAAGTTGACTGCACAAAGATTATAAGGCTTTCTACCTCAAACAAATTTATTAAATGTTTTCCAGTATATATATAAGACTCATATATAATAAGAGAAATAATATGAGCTAGATCCTCCATTGAACTCTTGCAACCAAAGCCTTAAAATCTTTAATTACTAGAAATCTAAATTTCAGAGCAAGGTTCAATATCGGAGACGGGCTACACCGAAAAAGTTTTCAGGTAATAAAAAGAATTCAGTTATGCACTATATTCAACACTATAAAGTTGGTAGAAAGCAGTATTGATAATGGCATAGCTCAATAATGCCCAAAACAATTTCATACTCACATCAGTTTCTTACCAAGTTAATAATACAGGAAATTACAGCTGGTTATCACCACACCATTAAGATAGTTTCAATTTAATCCCAGCTTCTCATAATCTCAGGTCATTTTGAATGGAATTTCTCAGACTATTTACATGGTTCATATCATTAAGATATCACTAGAAAGAGTCAGTAAGGGCAGCTGTTTCTATTTTGGTGACAATTTTCAATATTCAGGTGTAGTAGAACACCATAGAGTGGTGCGTATACTTAAGAAAACATCAACAGGATCAAACACTATGGTACATATCCAAACAAAACTAAAATACTAAATAGAAGCTTCAAATGTAGAAGGTCCATATAACCACTTACAGCATCATCAACACAGCCAGTTTGATCATAAACTGCACGTTTTTCCTCATCGCCAAGAACTGACATCACCTTTTGCAACTGCTGAAATTTCTCATTGGCCTCCTGTAAAAAGGATAAGATGATAATTTTATTGATCCCTTTACAATGGTGCTTTAACTCACACTAACAATACTAATCATCTATGATAATTGAACTTTACCTCATCACCAGGATTCTTATCTGGATGCAGGCGCAAAGCCAACTTATAGTATGCTCTCTTTATTTCCTGTTGAGATGCTGTTCTTTCCACCCCCAGTATCTACAAACCAACAACTTATTCATCAGCAAATTACAGCTTCTACATGAATTATGTGCTAAGAAAACACGTGTATGCATAACTCTTCCCTCTGTCTTATCAACTTCAAAAGATTTTACTTTTTTGGAAATCTTTCCGAGCCACTCATATTATCATATAGGACCTATCATCTCATAAGCACTTTATCTAAATTAAAGTAAAAACCCAAACTTTAACATGCAATTGTGCAAATACTTCCACAACACTACAAGTCCTATTTGCGAGTATCATGAATCTTTAAATTTCTCAGTGAAAAAAAAACTGAAGTCAAGCTCATACTGAAACAATAGTAAAAGAATACCCCAAAATTATCACAATTTACAATACCTAAGCACAAATTAGGGCAAAATCACATGTACGCAAACACGCACGCATAAAGCCTACATAGAAATCGAAATTGCGCATGGAGCTAAGAACTGGCACCAATACCTCATAGAGGCTCTTCTCATTAGCATCGGAAGAAGAAGCGTGAGCTGAATCTCGATTCTGACTCGCTTCCTCGCATTCTTCCTCCAAGTCCTCGTCGGAAACTCTAGGGTTCTTCTTTCTCTTCCCCATTACGGCAAACCGGAAAAAGCTTTACACCAAAACCGTACGCAATCTGAAGATCAGAACACCGCACGGCAGAACTGCAGAAGCGTCTATATAGAAAAGATCGAAGAATTCCCGCCACGTTGGGCCTTCGTTCTGCTTCGTTCCCGCCATTTTATGATTCGGGTCGAAATGGGCTGATGGGCTACGAACAGATAATATGGGAATCTAGAATACTCTATGGGCCTAGTGGGGTCAAACGCGGCCCAATAAATTAGAAAAATCATGAAATTAAACTTGAATTAGAAGAAAACTTAATTATCCTCTCCTGCGTAAGATAGACGGAATGGCAAAATGGTAATTATGAGTTGGGTGTGCGCATGTGAAAAAGATGACTTTTTTTTTTTTTTATATAAATATATATACTCCATCCGTCTCATTTTGTGTCTGATTTGATTAATGAAATTTAATTAAATTATTTTTAATTCAATTTTTCATAATATTAAGTTTAGTATTAGTATGCAAAATTTATACATTTAAAAACTACTATTATTAAATAAAAAAATATTAAATTTAAAAATATATTTAAAAAAATAAACAAGAGAATACAAAATTAATTTGACCAATAAATAATAAGTAAGACAGGTAAAATGGGACGTAAAAGATATTATGTATCTTAGATTATGATAGAGTATAATTTAATCTCGATCTCTAGAGATATTATCTTATCTATACATACAAAAAGATTTTTATCTTTTCTAATCGATCAAAGTCTATCAATAATTTTATCGAACCCACACTATTATATTAAAATAAAATTTTATAATCATCGGTTGAACAAATTGAGTAACTCTAGTTGGTATAAGGACAAGATGACTTTTTTTCCTTGAAAGAAAAGACCCCTAACCAAAAAATAACGACGATTTTACGATTTTACCCCGTAGTCCCTCTTCCCTTCTCCAAGCTTTCATCTCTCCACGACTCCACACCTCTATCTCTCTCTCTCTCTCTCTAATCATCTTAATTAAGCTCTCTCTCCCTCTCTCTCTCTCTCTCTCTCTAATCTCTCTCGCTCTCTCGATTTCTCTGGTTACAATCTCGTCAATTCAGGTAATCATGCGTTTTTTTTTTGTTCCCTGAATTGTTCCGATTGATTTCCAAGGTTTTTGTTATCATTTATGTTCTTTTTGTATCAAGTACTGATTTTTTTTTATTTTTTTGGGTTACAACGTTAAACTACTTGTTCGATCGTGTGTAGAAGTTCCCCGTTTGTTAGCTGGTGCGAAGTTACTTGATGCTTTTGTCGTTTTTTTAGTTAGGGTTTTGTTTTTTTCCGCCTTCCCAACCTTTTTTCCCCCTAATTTTGAGGTTGCACTTTGTCTTTGATGATATTGATGGATATTTGATTGTTTATTTGTTGAAAGGGTTTTATTTATATATTTATTTATTGTAATTATGAGGTTTTTATTGGTCTTTGATGAGTAATTGTGAATATTTGGCTGTTTATTTGTTGGAAAAATGTAATCTTTTTGTAATCTGTTGGAGTTTGATGGCCAAATTGCTTTGTGATGATGCTGGGTGTTGCAAATTGTTTTAACTTTCTATACAGGGAAAAGTAGAGGGGGCTAAATTTTGTTGTGTACAAGTGTATTGTGCAAAAGTTGATAATTTGAGGCTTTGAGCAACTTGTTCTATGTGCAGATGTTTAGTTCAGTTGGTGGTTTTTTCTCTTAATATTGTATTAGTTAAATTTTGTGGGAGTAAAAATGGATTAGGTGATATGTATATGTATCCTCGTTTTCAATTTGCTTCAATTTTTTGTGATAAGATTATGTGAGTGGGATCCTTTGGTGGTGTTATTACTCTGAGGTAATTCTGATATTTTGGATTCTGTATTGGAGATGCAGTCAATTCATAATTGTTTTGAATTGTAGTCAATTGATAGTTTTTCACCCTTTTTCAATCCTTACATTCTTAAGTTTCCTGTCCAGAATAGTATTGATTTTGTAATTCACCTTATATAGTTTTCAGCTTGGTCGGGTCATTAATTGGGTTCACAGTATCATGATGAAATGATCCCGTCTTTTCTATGATGTATACCCATTTACTGTTCTTTCCTCTCGATTGTTCATAGAGGCTTGCTATGTAGTTTGAAAGAGAAATGATTTGGTGTTGTAATGTGCTAAAGTGCAACATATTGTTAATTTGTTATGTGTACATGTTAATTTGTGTTCTTTAGCGTTGTTTGATATTTGGATCAGTTAGATATGCTTTTCTTGATGGATTTCTATTCATGCTTAAATATGTAGAGAAACTCTTCTGTGCCCTTTGCTTGTTTTAGTATGTGTGTAAAGCTGATCTGTTTCTAAGTGGTGCAGGATTGCCCAAATGGAGTCATCGAAAGAGACCGGGTTCCAAGCTCCGGAAGGCCCTATCCTTTGCATCAACAACTGTGGCTTCTTCGGGAGTGCAGCCACGATGAACATGTGTTCCAAGTGTCACAAAGACATGATCTTGAAGCAGGAGCAGGCTAAGCTCGCTGCTTCATCAATCGAGAACATTGTCAATGGCGGTTCAAGCAGTAACGCGAAAGAATCTGTGGGGATGCTTCCTAACGCCATCGACACCCAAGCTGGAAACCCAGAACCGAAGGCCATCTCTCTGCAACTGCCAGCACCCGCCGATCCATCCACAGGCAAGACCCCAGAAGCGAAGGTCAAACAAGGGCCAAGCCGGTGCACCGCCTGCCGCAAGCGCGTGGGCCTAACCGGGTTCAGCTGCAAGTGCGGAAACCTCTTCTGCGCCACCCACCGCTACTCCGACAAACACGACTGCCCGTTCGACTACCAGAACGCCGCTCGGGACGCAATCGCCAAGGCCAACCCTGTCGTGGTCGCAGAAAAGCTTAATAAGATCTAGAAAGCAGCCCCAACCTGAAAGCTGATGAGAACCACAAATTCAAAATGCAATCTTCTTCATGTGCCTGAATCTGAGACAAGTGAAACCAATCTATCTGTTGGGGTATAAGGCAGTGAAAATGGGGGCAAGTTCAATGAACTTCTTCTCTCTCTCAAGTCCTTTATATTCTTAAACTACCAGTGTGTATATCATTATTTGTGATTGCTTTGGTGGACATGACATCCTCGTACGTGCTATTTGTAATTTCTCTGCTTGGCCTGCTTCTTTCACTTCATGCATGTAGTAATTAGCAGCACCATTATTTATGAGGGTGGAATGAAAAATAAAAGGAAAAAAAATGAAGTGCTTTGTATTATTGCTCAGTTTTTCATGTATTGCTTCAATTTAATGTTTGTTGATAAATGTAGGTAGGGAGTTCAAGGGCAAAATGCAGTTAGATATAACAAGGCGTTTGGTTTGGTTGGAGAATTAAGGGGGAAAGGAATGGTAATTCGGTGGGAATAAAGTAGGAATTACAATTATATTGTTTGGTAGGAAAGAATATTGAAAATGGGAGAAGTGATATGAAGACTTAAATACCTTTCTGTAATAATAACATTCAAGGACAAATATGTCATTTCCTACCTTTTCCCCTTTTCATTGTATGGATGAATTCATTGAATTGCAATTCATAGGGCCCCCTATGAATTGCAATTCAATGAATTGAGGGAATTATAATTCCCTTAATTGAAGCATGTGTTATATCTCAATTAAAAGCCTAAGTTGATAGTTCGATTGCGGGCCACACGCGGGCATGTGCTCCATCTCAATATTCAATGAATTGAGAGAATTATAATTTCTTAAACTGAAGCATGTGTTCTACCTCAATTAAAAAGCCTAAGCTGATAGTGGATTGCACATTTATATTTATGTAATATTATATGCTCAACACCCTCCAACCAAACAATGTAATTTATCATTTCATTGAATTATAATTCAATGCCAATGCAATTCATGCCAACCAAACACCCCCTAAAGTATAGAGTGTCATGATTCAAAGGGTGAGGGGTAGGGTATAAAGTGAATAAAGGGAAAATGTTTGGGGCCAAAATGCAAAAAGGTATAAAGAATAAGGTGCAAAGGCATAGAATGTGGGTTTTGTTTGATAAATCTGTAATGAGTTAATACTCAAAATAGTCATTGATTATAAAAAGCCGTCAAAATAGGTTTAGCTCGCCGAGCTTTCCCGTTCCGCCCGCCAAAAAGGCGAGATGGGCTTATGTTTTTAAAGCCCGTTTTAAAAACGAACTTTTTTGCCCGCCCTGCCTAGTCCGCGGGCTTAGCGGGACGGGCTAGCGGTTTTTTTTTTTTTTTTTTTTTTTTTTTTTTTTTTTAAGTTATATATATAACTACTGGGACTATGTGGTCTAATGGTATCCGGGTTGGACTTCCAATTGGAAGGTTATGAGTTCAAGCCTCAGTGGAGGCGTTATTGGTTCTTTGTGTTTCAGTAGGTTGAGAAAGTATATGAACGGATACTACAATGTAATAGAGCCAGTAACTTTCAAAAAAAAAAAAAAAGTTATATATATAACTAATATTTATATATATTAGTTACTGTATATATACAGTAACTAATATATATATTACTAATATATATATATATATATATATATATATATATATATATATATATATATATATATATATATATATATATATATATATATATATATATATAAAATTAATTAATATATATAATATAATAATATATATAATAGTATCGGTTATTCGGTGACCGCGGTTATTACACCTTTATAATCGAATAGTCGAATAACTGATATTTTTTTTTTTGCCTTATAACCGTTAATCGAAATTATTTGTCGGTTCGATTATCGGTTATCGATTTTTCGGTAATTATACTTACTCCTATTGGTGTTATTGTTGTCATGTTGTGATGAACGAATTTATGTTATTTTCTTGTGAATAAGTATTTTAAGTAGATAGCAATTAAGTTATTTACATAGTCACATTAGAGTTTAGATTTTAGGGACACTTCACACATGGTTTTTTTTAAAAAAAAAAAAAAAAAAAAGAGGCGGGCTTTGGCGGGGGCCTGCGCGCCTAGGGGGGGGGGGGGGGCAATCGTTATGCGTTGGACCCGTGTCGTTAGGCACTGTTATCTCTTTTTTTCTTTTTTTTTCTTTTTTTTTCTTTTTTTTTTTTTTAATTTCAGACCGCTTCATTGTAAGAGTATATGTTCATAATTTTATTACTATATGTTAATAACTATACATTCATAACTCCATAACTGTACGTTCATAACTCCATAACTGTACATTCATAACTCCATAACTGTACATTCATAACTCCATAACTGTACATTCATAACTCCATAATTGTACATTCATAATTTTCGAAGCTCTATGTTCATAATTTTATCACTATATGTTCATAATTGTAAGTTCATAATGTTAGAGCTCTTTGTTCATAATTTGATCAATAACTGTACATTCATAATTCCATACTGTAGATTCATAATCTCATAACTGTAGATTCATAACTCCATAACTGTAGATTCATAACTCTATAACTGTACATTCATAACTCCATAACTGTACATTCATAATCTTCGAAGCTCTATATTCACAATTTTAAAGCTCCATGGTCATAATTTTATCACTATATATGTTCATAATTGTAATTGTAATTTTCAAAAAAAAAAAATGTTCATAATTGTAAGTTCATAATGTTAGAGCTCTGTGTTCATAATTTCATAATTGCATAACTGTATATTCATAACGGCATAACTGTACATTCATAATCCAAAAAAAAATAATAACGCCGTTAACGGCAAAACGCGCGCGATTTTTTTTTTTTTTTTTTAACTAAATGACGCATTTTTTTTTAAAAACGACGTCGTTTTGGGCCCGTGTCCACAATTCAATGTGGACACGGGTCCAGGGCATAATTTGCCCGGGGGGGGGGGGGGGGGGGGGGGGCGGGCTGCCCCTACCTAGGCCCGTATTCTTGGCGGGCTTTTTAGCCCGCCCCGCCAAAAGGCGGGGTTTGACGGGCCCCGCCCCGCCAGCCCGCATTGACAGCTCTAAATTTATAATTATTTTTTTCAATTTCTTTCTAAATGATTTTGGTGATCCAATATAGTTTTAGACTTTTGTGTTTTTACTTAATGTAGCATTCCGTTTGTTATTCCGTCAAATTGGTGTTAAATAGATGAACAATTAAGTAATTCCAATATTAGTCTTTCTTTTCTCACAGACGTACGAAGTGCAGAATCCCTCTTTCTTTTACGAATTACTCCCACAATTGCAATATACGCGCAGTACATACATATGGAGACATGTTTTCTGGAAGTAATTTGTAAAAGAAAGATGGATATCGCACTTCGCAGGTCTGGGAGAAAAGAGATATCAATATTGAAATTATTTAATTGTTCATCTATTTAACGTCAATTTGATGAAATAACAAACGGGAGACTATATGCATGATGCATTGAATAAAAACATAAAAGTATGGGATTACATTAGGTCACTACCTACCAAAATCATTTAGAATGAAATTGAAAAAAATTACTATAGTTGAGGACCATATCATTGACTCCAAATTTGTAATTATTTATTATTTTTTTTTTTTTGGTGAGGAACTAGAGGCTAAACCTCAGATTAAGAGATTCTACGAGAGCTGGCCCCTCCTGCGTCACGAACCAAGAGGGGGATGAGATCTTCCATCGCCTCTGTGAACACCCTGTACCCCAGTCTGTAGCTTGTGCTAAGTTAGCCAAGAAATCTGCGCAGGCATTACCTTCCCTAAAAATATGGTTGAAAGAGATCCCCTCAAAAATGGGCACCAAGGCAAGACAGTCATGCAGCAAAGTACAGCCATTATCGTCCATATCAATATCGCCATGTAAGAGGTCAATGATGGCTTTAGAGTCCATCTCCACCGTGACCCGACGAATCCTCTTCTCGAGACAGAGCCGTAGACCCTCCCTTAGGCCCCACAGCTCGGCTACGAAGGTATTGGCTTTACCAATTTTAGTGGTGAATCCCCAAACCAAGCCTCCCAAGTAATCGCGCACCAGTCCGCCTGCGGATGCAATGCCCGAGTTACGTTTGGCTGCTCCATCCGTGTTAAGCTTGTACCAACCTTGGGTCGGCGGGAGCTATTGGACCCAATCTGACCGTGCTTTGACCACTTCCCCTATCTTTGAAAGATCAAACGGCTCTTTAACCTGAGATTTAGTCCATTCGACAGTTGATAGGGGGTTGATCCGCTGATGTTGAAAGACCCATGCATTTCTGTTTTTCCAAATTGCCCAAAGATTGAACACAAAGTGGGAAGGCCAGCCGCTATTCTGATGGATGGAACAATTTCTTCTGATCCATTGTTCAACTGTCCAGTGGATAGGGAAGCCAAAATTTATTGGAGTCTCCGAGAGGCGCCATGTCGTCTGTGCAGCGCTGCAATCCCAGATAAGGTGTCTGATGGATTCTTCTGCTAAGCCGCAACAAGAGCACAAGCTGGAGTCCGCAAGGTGTCTCCTCGCCCGTTCTGTGTTAGTCAACAGACGTCCTTTGAGAATGAGCCAGAGGAAGACTTTGATTTTTTCCCAACACTTCAGCTTCTAGAGCCAAGACCAGTCCATGCTATCTTCCTCAATACCTGCAACACAAGTGTAAGCAGATTTCGTCGAGAACTTACCTGTGTCGCTATTTGTCCACCCAATTGAATCTCTCTTTCTGTCATCGAGCGAAATCGGGATCGCACGGATGTTATCAATAATGTTTTCCAGGAGAATCTCCTGTAACTTGGGAAGATCCCAGGTTCTATTCTGGAGGATGAAATCACTTACCATGCAAGACCCGAGCTCCTCCGGGATATCGATATTCTGATCCAGGCCGATCGACATGCTTCCAACCCACCAATCTTTCCAAAGATTTATCGAGTGACCATCGCCAACTTTCCATACCGCATTGGAGATGACCGTTTTCCTTCCCTTGATTATGCTTTTCCAAGCCCACGAAGCATTTCCAGGTACCGTGGCAGAGAAGAAGTCACCGTTTTTGACGTACTTGTCTCTCATAACTTGTATCCAAGGTTTATCAGACTAACCACACATCTGCCAGGCGAGCTTAGCAAGAAGAGCTTCATTGAAGTGGCTTGCTTTCCGAAGACCGAGCCCACCCAAGTCACGTGGTTGGCACACTTTGTTCCAGTTAACCAAATGTATCTTTCTTTTTTTCCTGCGTATGCCCCCACAAGAAATCTCTACAAATCTTATCGATACTATCGCATGTACTTTTCGGTAGAGCCAGGGCTTGCATGGTATAAACAGGGATAGTCGCCAAGGCCGATTGGGTCAAGATTCTTCTTCCCGCAAGACTAAGAGAGTCACGCTTCCAACCAGAGAGTCTCTTCTTCATCTTTTCCAGAATATACCTGAAAGTATCTTTCGTAACTCTTTTCTGCAGAATAGGGATTCCCAAGTATTTTCCCATGTTGTCAGACACCGGGATCCCCGCAATCTCACCTAGGCATCGCTTGACCCTATCACAGGTGTTAGGGGAACAAAAAATAATAGATTTATTAAAGCTGATAGACAAACCTGATTGGCATGAAAACTTGTCAACCACCGAGAGAATAATTTTGAGTTGTTGTTCAGAAGCTTCCCCGAAGAGGATAAGGTCGTCTGCGAAGAAAAGATGAGAGATGTTCGAGCCCCCACGTGCCACTTTGTAGGGTTTCCAACTTCCAGCACTGACCTCCTCTTGAATTGCCCAAGAGAGGGTTTCCATAGCAAGAATAAACAAATAGGGGGCCAAGGGGTCACCTTGTCTGACCCCCCTACCCACCCCAAAGACGGGGAGCTTACCTCCGTTCCAATTAATAGATATAGTGCTTTCTTTGAGAGAGAACATGATCAGGGAAATCAGTCAATTCGGGAAGTTAAATTTGCAAAGGACCGACTCTAGGAACCCCCAATCCAGGCTGTCGTAGGCCTTGTGGATAACCAATTTGAGAACCATGAAGCCCTTCTTGCCCTTGGCTTTAGACATATTGTGAACAATCTCTTGGGTCATAACAACATTATCAAGAGTAGATCTTCCCGGGAGAAAGCTGTTTTGGAACGGCCCCACCAATTTCTTCATGACTGGTCTGAGCCGGTTGACAAGAACTTTGGAGACAATCTTGAAGATCACATTAAGCAAAGTGATTGGCCTAAAATCCCCTGCATTTTCTGGGCAATCTTTTTTGGGAATTAAAGTCATGTAAGCTTCCAACATTCCAGTTGGAACGGTACCTGAAATGAGACACGAGTTAACGAAATTCGTTACCAAGTCACCAACGATATCCCAGTAATGCCGATAGAAGGCTGCTTGGATCCCATCCGGGCCCGGGCTCCCAAACCGTTTCATGCCGAAAACAGCGTGGCGGACTTCCTCCACCGTAGCATACCGGATCAAACTTTGTGCCTGCCTGTTATTGATATTACGCCCGCTCCTAAGGGTAGGAGTCTCCTTCGTTGTGTCTTGGTTCCTATTAAAAAGGCATTTAAAATAGTTAGTGATATGGTCTTTAATGGTTTGGGGATCGGAAATCCACTCACCGTTAATTTTTAGCATGGTGACCCTCGAACGATTCATTCTAACCAAGGTCGCCCTATGATAGATGATTGTAGCAAAAATAAGATGTGAGCTCGGGTGTGTTATGTCGTCCTCAGGGGATTGGGGGTTATGGCACGCAATATGCAATCACAAGAAACTAGACACTAGCATAAGGAAATCAACAAGAAGCTAAGCAAATCATAGCGAGATTGAGGCTACGGTAACTAAACAAAGTAACACAAACACATATTAACAAGATGAAAACACGAAATAAAGAAATAGGACTCAAGCTAGGGAGCATTATCATCTAGATGCTTTAACAACTTAAGGGATTAGGGAGAATAAGTAACCAAGGAATCAAGCGGGAATGCACGTAGGTATCCTAGTCTACGAACCATTCTCATGATTAATAAACAAGGATTAGAACAAGGAATTGCCCCACTTTCGTGATGAATCAATTCCAAGCCCATCAAGCACACAAAGCATCTAAAGCCCCCAATTTCCCCTATTTTCGTAGGAAGAAATCGGGTCTATGCAAGGGGTGGCTTGGATTCATCACCCAACTCTCGTTGAGGCAAGGAATCCTCCAAAAACAAGCTAATGAATGTGTACATCAAACATTAACAAGATATAAATACAAAACCTTCACAAACACATGAACCCTAGGTTGGAGTTCTTCCCCCTTTTTTGCAATAATCACAAATCAAGCATCAAGATAGATAATACAACCCTAACTCAAGTCCAAAAACTAACTACTCATGATTAAATAGCATGAAACATAAATCTTGCAAAATAAAGAGACAAAAGGAAGAAGAACTTATGTATTGAAAATGGAAGAAGAATCTTCAAATGTTAGAATCCAAGCTTCAAATCCAAGATTACAAGCTTGAAATATGTTGTGGAACCTAAATCTAAGCCTAATCTAACACTAAAATATGAAAGGAAGTGAAAGAGAGTGTCTAGGGTTCTAACAAGAGTCAAAACCGAATAGAAATGAGAGAAAACAGGGTTTAAAAGAGGCAGAGCAGGTTGGGATGGCCTCAGGGATGGGCGTACGCCATGGGGTACGATTTTTGTTGCATTTCCAGTGAAAACTGGATCAGGGAGAAGAGATGCGTACTGGCATGCGTATGGGCGTACGGCAGGGCGTACGATGCTTCTGGAAACAGAATTCTGTGCACTTGTTTTGAATTCTATGCTATTTTTCTCCTCTAAAATCATTTTATTTGCACTTGTGGTCTTCAACAAAGTTGTAGCACTTTAAGTTGGCTTTCCAATGGTGCAAGAATCACTTTATTTGGACATTCCTAGATCGAGATATGGTCAGAAAACCGAACAGTGTCCGAAATGAGAGAAAATTACAATGTCTTGATCTTTTGCTCCTCTTTTGTTTTGGTTTGCCCAAATGACTAAGACCATTGAATACACCACTCTTAGGCTCCCTTGGAAGTATTTTGTCCATCCTCTTAACTTCTCATTGGCTCCCATGGACTCCTAATGCATCCAAAATGCTCCATTTGACTCCAATGTCCACCAAAATGCCTGAAAATACTCATCTTTGTTTCCAAACAAAACTCCTTGCAAAATAATACAATTTAATCATAATCTCATGAAATTTGGAATGAACTATAGGCAAAATGACTTAGTGAAAGGGAGGAAAATATAGACAAATAAGCACTTATCAATAGAAGGTAGTATTTTTGTCACCATCCTGAACCCAGTCCTTACGAGATTTTTGGTACCAGAAAACCTCCTCTTGTTTCAGGGTATTGTTGAGATCATTAAGAAGAGCTTTTTCGAGCCTTAACAACCCCCTATCAGAACTGTAGTTGGGCGAAGCCTGGATCCCCACTATTCTTGCTAGCGTGTTTTTTTTCCTGTGAAAGATATTCCCAAAAGTTTTGTGATTCCAATCTTTAGACAACTTAACCATGTGATCAATGGCGCTTGGGATATTATTTGAGAAGGAGCTCCAGGCTTGATGCCAGATTCCTCGATAATCATCTCTCAAGAGCCAAGCCACCTCAAACCTGAACGGTCTCTCTTACTTAGGTGGTGGAGTACCCGCGGCACTATCAAACTGGACAGGATGATGGTCCGAATGAGTACAAGGCAAGATGTGGGTTTTTCCTTCAGGAAAGGACAGCTGTGCTTCCATATTCCAGAGAACCCGGTCAAGCTTCCTTCTGAGCGTGACCCTCTCCCCCACTTTCCTGTACCATGAGAATCTGGACCCAGAAGTCCCAAGATCCATGAGGCCGCAGTCATTCATCGCGTCCAAAAACTTGTCAACTGAACTGACAACGATCTCCCCCGTACCCCATTGGTCTGCTTGCCCTGAGATGTCATTAAAATCACCAAGGACAACCCATGGGTCTTGAAAGGAAGTAGAGTAGTCCTTGCAACCCTGCCAAAAAATTTCTTTCGCCCTACGATTGGGTCTAACATAAGCAAAGGAAATCCGAATGTTTTTACCATCCCGCTGCGGAATCAAAGTGTGGATGGTCTGAGAATTGTGTTCGACCACAAAGAGTGGAACACGGTCTTTATTCCAAACTAAGAGTAAACCTCCCGCAAAACCGAGAGGATCAACCATAAAGGAAGAACAAAAGCCAAACTTATCAGCCATTTTTAGTAAACCATCAGCTGCCTTAGTTTTTGTTTCCAAGAAACAAAGCGCGCCAACATCCGGCATTTTCAGGAGATCCCTAGCATGCCGCCTAGTACCCCCACTCCTCACACCCCTGCAATTCCAGGCGATAAAAATCATTGAGCAATAACAGAAGTGGAGGGATCAAGATTACCGCTTTCCTCCGGAGCGCTATTCAAGTCCATAGGTTGGACCAAGTCAGGCGAGGGATGGCCAAAGATGAATGTGCTAGTGCTAGACGAAGCAAGCCTCGATGTCGCAGTGATGGAGCCTTCGCCATGTGTGTTTGCATTATATGAACCCTTATTACTCCTCTTGGGAGGTCCCTTTTTTCTTCCAGAAGAGCTCACTTTGTCCTGTTTTCCAGAGTCCTTTTCCACACGTGTTGCTCCTGCATGGCAAAAATATACTTAGACTGGTTCGAAGCTAAGGGGGTCGTATCCTTACCAGACATAACAGCGGGTGCTTTGGTGATTCCTTAGTCGTTCGATTGCGCCGGCGGGACTGTGTCGCTCGTAAGGGGTTCCTCCGAGACTTCTTGCAACGCTGAAAACATGTTGGAAGGTTGATCCAGGCTCTTTCCTTTTCCTTTCTGCGCCATATTAGTCGGCTTAGCTGATGACTTCCCTTTGTCCATTTGCGTGGCCTTTGGAGGAGCTTTCTTGGCTTGCTTCCCCTGATTTGCACGTTTGTCTTGGACAATCATCCATTGGCCATACCTCTGCATCTCAGTTGGAGGTTGCGTAGCAGAGGCGACCGGAGTCTGAGTTTGCTGTGCAGTTTGCTCCATAGGGGCATCGACTTGTTGTTCCGACTGCACTGCAGTCACCGGCATGTTCTTTGGGCAGGCATTAGACCTATTCCCTACTTCACCACACTCGAAGCAAATGGTGTGTAGCCCTTCAAATTCCACCTGCTGAATCATGTCTTCAACGATGATCATGGACACGAGTGGCTTCTTGAGATCGATTTCCACAGCAGCGCGAGCGAACCGTCCTTTTTCTGTTCCAGTGGTGGTTTTATCGAGTTTCACCGGAGTTCCCACTTGAGTCAAGATCTGTCGGATTAAATCTTCACGGAACAATTCCAATGGGAGTTCCGGCAACCTTACCCATATCATCATCTTCTCCACTGTGGCCTTCGCAGGTTTGAACCTCGGTGTCCACCGTTGAGGCACTACATAGTGGTTAGCTACCTTGTAGGGGCCGCCGACTAAGACGTTCATGCAATCTCTAGCCCGATCAAACCGGGCGACATACCAGTTATATCCCAAGTCAATAAGTTGGAACTTCCCCTCAGTATTCCACATCCTGGAGAGGCGATTGAGGAGAAAATTGAACGCAATACGCTTACCAAGGAACTTGAGAGTTAGGGCGTTTCTCCATGGCTGAACGATCTCTTTGCGGAGTTCCTTTGAGAAAGTGACCACCGGGAGGCCCAACGGGTTCGCCGGAGGAACAACTTCTTCATTCAAGACTGCCAACACCTCGTCACTGAGCCAATCATCGTTGTCAGCCTCCATCATCGTATCATCACTGGCTGTCGGAATAGCCGTTACTGCATCAGCAAAGGATCTCTTCGTCGCCCTAAACCGTTTGAAATTCCTCCCTTTGTCGCCATCAGGCGGGGCGCCGGACATTGGCGGAGGATCCGCCGGAGTCTGCATGCGGAAGGAAAGAACGTAAAAGGTGGATCGCTCCAGACTTACCAAAAATAGGTCAACGGTCGAGAGCGTTTTTCCCCAAATTTGTAATTAATGAGTCATTTAATTCATGAGTAATTACTAAATGGGAAAGGTTATGATATATGTGACAGTACATATTAATCATACAAGATGTATTACCTACTTTTCTATATAGAAAGTAAAGAATTATATGAAAATGATACCGGTTATGGTTTTATCTAATTACCTTGCAAGATACATTTGTATGCAAAATAAAACAAAAGAAATTGAAATTATGAATAACTAGTATTTCGGCCGTGCGATACACATAATGAATTTGTTGTAATATATTAAGAATATTTGAATGCATATATAATTATTTAAATAGAGCATCAAATACTCTGTATTATATAATGCAATTGAAAATGTTCGATCATTTGTGTGTTTTGATGTTATTATTGTTTGAATTTGAGCAAATAATTGCTCAAATTAATAGCTAATGTGCAGATGTATGCATGCGGTGCTGTAACTTTGGAGATTTTATTTATCATTGTTTATTATTTTTTATAAATTAGGCAAATGCGCTCGTTCTCTAGCAACTCAGTTATAGGAATGAATTGCTATCTTAATTCATTTATATGGAAGATATAATTTTTTGTCTAGATGTATAGCAATTTTGTCATTTAAAAATGGATATTGAAATGGATTCTCAAGTACTTTTTCATGCCATTCGTTCTTCTCCTATTAGTTCTGCTTTTGGCTTATTGGTAGATGATATTAAAAATTTAGCTTCCGTCATAGGTGATTTTGAATTTTATTGTGTTAAGCGGTCTGCGAATAGTGCAACCTATACTCTTGCTAGGGCGGCCTTTTCTATGTCAGATTGCGGGGAGTGGTTAGACTCTCCACCTTCTTTTCTTGTAAGCTTTCTTGAAGCTGATTTAATGAATTAATTCCTTCTAAAAAAAACATAATATCAACGATTGTATTTATACATTATTGAAATCTCTTTGTAGACGACATTGGTAGTAGCAACACAATCTCATCCATCATCGCCTATAGCTAACACCTTCAGTCCTTCAGGATGTGTGACTCGGGTGAAATATATATATATATATATATATATATATATATATATATATATATATATATATATATATATATATATATATATATATATATATATATATATATATATATATATATATATATATATATATATATATATATATATATATATATATATATATAATGGTAAAATATTAGTCAATTAGCGATCCTTTTATATTTTAAGTCAATTAGTAATATCAGATTCATTTTCAGCCAATTATTCTTTTCTTTTTTTTAGTCAATTAGTCAATTATAATATCATATGCAATGATATTTTTACTTAATTTCTGTTCCATTTTTAATTGATAATGTATAATATTATTATTGAAATATTAATATAGGTGAGAAAATAGTAATATGCGATTATTACCAATTAAAAGTAGGTTATTGTTATGGTATTTATTATATTACCTATTAAGACGGCAGGTCACAATTATGATTTTTATTCTATTACTAATTAAAATTAGGATTTTTATTATACTTGAATAAAAATATTACTAATGAATAATATATGTATAGTAATTTTACTAATTTGTTGACTTAATTACCTTATATTAAAAAAACATAATAAATGTATAATAATATGAATAAATATTAGCATAATCAGAATAATAATTATTAGTGTACTAATCTGATCATTATTACCTTATTCCATAATTAACAAAATAATAATTCCTTAATTTTACTAAAATTTATTCAATTAGTTACTTAATTTTAGAAAATAGTAATAATTGTATAGTAATATAAATAATTATTAGCTTAATTAGAATAACAATTATTAGTATACTAATCTGATCATTATTAACTTTAATACAATTAATTACTTAATTTTAGAAAATAGTAATAATTGTATAGTAATATAAATAATTATTAGCTTAAGTAGAATAACAATTATTAGTGTACTAATTTAATCATTATTACCTTTAATACAAAATTAATTTCTTAATTTTAGCAAAGTAATAATTCCTTAATTATATTAAAATATATTTAATTAATTCCTTAATTTTGGAAAATAATAATATATGTATAATATAATGTATAATTAGTAGCTTAATTCGAATAATTATTATTAGTGTATTAATATGAAGGTCTGAACCATTATTACAATTAATTCTTTAATTTTTTAATTAGAATAATCATAATTGTAATTACAATTAATTAATTAATTGTATAAATCTTTTTAATTTTTTGAATTTATTAATTAATTGTCTGATTTTGTTTTATTTTATTTTAAATTTATTTTCTAGATAATATTGTTGCAAAAGAAGTCTCTCCGTGGCTCACGATTCATTAAATTCTGAATTATATTCTAAAGTAGGAATAAGGGTCAAATAGGCCATCGAACTACACTCAATAATGCAATTAGGCCACCGAACTTTAAAAAGCTACAATTAGGTCCCCGAACTAACCAATTCTATTCAATTAGTCTAATTTGTAGGTTTTTCAGGTTGTTAGCAGGTCACCTCTAATTTAAAATATTTTTTAAAAATTATTATTTAAAATAATTATTCAAAATTAAAAAAAAAAAAAAGAAAAAAAAAAAGAAGAAGTTATCGTCTCCGGCCATGGAGACGGAGTTAACTTCTTCGTCTCTGGCCGGAGACGAAGAAGGTTCCTTCGTCTCCGGCCAGAGACGAAGAAACTCTTCGTCTCCATGGCCGGAGACGAAGAGTCTCTTCGTCTCCGGCCATGGAGACGAAGATAACTTCTTCGCCTCCGGCTATGGAGACGAAGATAACTTATCTTCGTCTCCATAGCCGGAGACGAAGAAACCTTCTTCGTCTCCGGCGATCTGGTTTGTTTGTTTGTTTTTTTTTTTTTTTTTTTTTTTTTTTTAATTTTAATTATTAATATTAAATAATAATTTTTAAAAAATATTTTGAAAATTGGTGACCTGCTAACCACTTGAAAAACCTACAAATTGGACTAATTGAATAGAATTGGTTAGTTCAGGGACCCAATTGTAGCTTTTTAAAGTTCGATGGCCTTATTCCTCTAAAGTATTATTTATATATATATATATATATATATATATATATATATATATATATATATATATATATATATTGAATTTTAAGTTTTTTTTTTTTTGTTTTCATTTTATCCTAGACATTCAAGATTTTTTTTTTTTTTTTTGGAGAATGCTAATCGATTCACTGATAGTTGAAGATAGATAACAGTACTGTATAATCTGAAATTAAACCAAATCCAAGTTACTTTACATCTATTAACCCAAATTCAGATTATATCAAAAGAAAACATATATTTAAATAATTTCATCTAAGAGCTTGTAAATATGGTGAATGCTTTAGTGCTTTCAGAGAGACAACGTTCTTTACCAATTCGCCAGGAAGAACCAATCTCACGCCGGTCTGGATCTTGCTGGAAGTGATGGTCGGCTTCTTATTATTATTATTATTTTTTTTTTTGGGAAGAATAATATATAGCACAAATTGTAATAATTATTCTAGTAAAATTATATATGATTTTTTTTTTTTTGTGTGTGT